GGAGACTCAATAACAACCTGAGATATTCAAATGATACAACCTTGCTTGCTGAAAGTGAAGATGACTTGAAGCACTTACTGATGAAGATCAAAGACTACAGCCTTCAGTATGGATTACATCTCAACATAAGACAATAAAAATCCTCACAACTGGACCAATGAATGCATCATGATAAATGGAGAAAAGATTGAAGTTGTCAAGGATTTCATTTTACTTGATTCCACAATCAGTGCCCATGAAAGCAACACTCAAGAAATCAAATGGTGTATTACACTGGGCAAATGTGCCTGCAAAAGACCTTTTTAAAGTGTTGAAGTGCAACAATGTCAGTTTGAAGACTAAGGTGCACCTGTCCCAAGCCATTTTGAATAGCCTCACTTGTCTGTGAGAGCTGGACAATGAATAAAGAAGACCAAAGAAGAATTGATGCATTTGAATTGTGGTGTTGGGAAAGAATGTTGAACGTACCATGGACTTCTGGAAGAATGAACAAATCTGTCTCAGAACAAGTGCAGGCAGAACACTCCTTAGAAGCGAGAATGGCCAGACTTCATCTCTCGTACTTTGGTCAGAAGGGACCAGTCTCTGAAGAAGGGTATCATGCTTGGGGAAGCAGAAGGTCGGCGAAAAAGGGTAAGACCTTCAATGAGATGGATTGACACAGTGGCTGCAATGATGTGCTCAAGCACGGCAATGATTGTGAGGCTGGTGTGGGACCAGACCGTGTTGTGTTCTGTTGTACACAGGGTCGCTATACGTCAGAATCAACATGACAACACCTAACAGCAAATAAAGAATGTCTACCTTGAGCAATGATGTTCTATTAAGATCTACCCATATGGGGTCAAATCGACAACACCAATTCAAAACATAAATAGGCAACTTAGGCAGGGAGTTTCTGTTAATGTGGGAACAGCAACTCAGAAATGGATGATGAGAATGGTTGCATGACTCAAAGAAAGTAATAGATGTTACTAAACTATACATGTAGAAGCAGTTGAAGTGGTACATGTTCTGTTGTGTATATCCTCAACAACAACAATACTAAACCACATAACTGTGCATATGGTCTGTGAGTTCTGTGTGGCCATTGCAATGAAATCATTGAAGCCAGCAGGGAAGTAGAGAGTACAATGGGGGTGAAGAAGGGGTGGTTGGTGTCAGAAATGGTGAAGAATTTGGGCAGTGGAGATACGTCTGACTTCCGCCTCAGAGGAACCAGCTTTGTGCTGACCCTAGTTTCTTATTCTTCCTGAACGGAGACGGGCCCTGATGCAACATTACAATATGGTGAACATAATTGTATGGACATGTGATTCCTGGACAATGAATAAGGAAGACTGCAGAAGAATTGATGCCTTTGAACTGTGGTGTTGGTGAAGAATATTGAATATACCATTGACTGCTAGAAGAATGAACAAATCCATGTTGAAGGAAATATAGACAGAAAGCTCCTTAGAAGCGAGTATGGCAAGACTTTGCCTCTCATACTTTGGACATATTATTAGGAGGAACTAGTCCCTGGAGAAGGACATCATGTCTGGAAAAGTAGTTGGTCAGTGAAAAAGAGGAAGACCTTCAATAAGATTGATTGACACAGTGGCTACAACAATAGACTCAAAAAAAAAAAAAAAAAAACCCAAACTCCCATCGAGTCGAATCCAACTCATAGCAACCCCTCCTTGGGTTTCCGAGGCAGTATCACTACAGAAGTAGATTGCCCAACTTTCGTTTTAAGGAGTGGCTGATGGGTTTGAACCGCCAGCCTTCTGGTTAGCAGTCAAGTGCCTTAGGCACTATGCCACCAAAGGATGGTGCAGGACTGGGCAGTGTTTTGTTATATTGTCCATGAGTTTGCTATGAGTCTAACCTGACTTGATAGCACCTAACCACAACAAATATAAATGTCTACAGTTGTCACATTCAAATTCACAGAAATAATATACAAGTGAGGACTGTGTTATTTGCCGACTACAGAAAAGAGTGTGCACCTCAAGGAAAGGAAGAATTTGTTCAAGAGAAGCCCAAGACAGAGAAGAGACAAGTGCTTTCAATTTCAGGGTTTCAACTGGCCAGTGTAGCAAAATAGAACATATCCAAAGTTTTTTAGATTCGGGGAAGGAGAATGATAACTGGAACAGGAAAAACTACAGGGTGAAGCCCTGGAATGGGAGACTTGGAAGAGACAGAAGAGGCATAGTGAGCCCTTTCAGGAACCTGATGTGGGAGATTGGATTATTGCCAACACACATTTAAAGGTGCCTGGTTGGCTTCAATTTTTGAGCCGGGCACCATTGTTTCTGACTCTGCAGATCAAGAGATTTGGTTGCTATGCAACATGCACACTGCCCTTCTTTTCTAAGAGGGAGATTAAGTGTCTAGCAGGTAACTTTTCCACTGGCAATTTTTCCCATTCTGGTACATCCACGTTTTACAAATTCAAGTCCATTCCAATTTTGCTTCACCAGCCATTACTGAACTGGCAAGAACCAGTTCGAAGTAGTATAAATTTAAAATGTTAACCAAATTAAACCATTCATGGTAAAGTAGACGCATCTCCAGGCAAGATGGACCTGCTGCTTCCATAAACTTGGGGTCGTCTCCCCACCCCTCCAGCAAAAGTATTTTTTTCAGGAACATCAGTTACATTAATCACATTGTGCAACCCCCACCCATAATCATTGCCGAATTGCCCATCACCCTAACACTCATTGTTTCCTAAACAATGTCTCTCCCTTTCTCTCTTCACCCTGGGTAACCACTAACAAACCTCGGTCTCTGTGTTGCTATTGTTGTTAGGTGCCACCGAGTTGCTTCCGAATCACAGTGACTCCATGACTCTCTACATTTGCCTATTTTTGTTATTTCATGTGTTGTTGTTGTTGTTGTTATGTGCCGTCGAGTCGGCCCCAACTCATAGCGACCCCTCCTTGGGTTTCCGAGGCAGTATCACTACGGAAGTAGGATTGCCCAACCTTCATGTGAGATTATATAATATTTATCCATTTGTAATTGACTTATTTCACTGAGCATAAGGTTTTTAAGGGTCATCCATATCGTAGCATGGGTTAGACTGAGTAGTATTCCATTTTGTTTGTGCACTCTTACCCATTCACCCGGTCATGGACCTCTAGGCTGTTCCCACCTTTTGGTTATTGTAGTGCTACAAGGAACATTAGTATGCATGTCTGTTTACATTGCTTTCAGGTGTCTTGGGGATCTACCTAGGAGTGGAATTGCTGGGTCATATGGTAGTTCTGTGTTTAACTTTTTGAGGAACCCATCAAACTGTTTTTCACAACAGTTATACATTTTGCATCCTACTTGGGATAGTCTTCATGCCTTCAAAGGAGCTCTGGTGGTGCAGAGGTTAAGGCATTTGGCTGCTAACCAAAAGGTTAGTGGATCAAACCCACCAGCTGTTCTGCGGGAGAGGAGGCAGTTTACTTCCGTAAAGATTTACTACCTTGGAAAAACTCCATGGGGCAGTTCTACTTTTTCCTCTAGGGTTGCTATGAGTCAGAATCAACTCGATGGCAGTTGATTTATGCCTTCAGGAAAAAGCTGGGAATGGAAACAAACATTGTTTCCATTGAGGGAGATAGGCTGACGAACACAGCATCCTCAAGGTCAAGTGAGATAGCTCCATCACTCATATTCAATACAAAACACCAGGGAATAATGGCTGAGGTATGACCTCATGCCAACTGAAGATGAACTGACTCCACAAAATGGTTCCCATGTGAACTTTCTGTGGCTGCTTCTGACCGAGACAGGCCTTATCTCACCTCCGCAGATGATGAAGTTGCTCTTCGGGTAAAGGAGTTGGAAGCACAAAAAAGACACAGGCCAGGCGGTTCTTGTTCAAATAGCAATGTTTAGTTGTACATCACAAAGTCTAGCAACATTTACACGACCAGTTTGTGTGTCTGTTGGCTTGTTCTCAGTTGGGACATTTAGCCATCATGTCACCAAGTGGTTGGCTGGGACTAGGAACATTTAAGAAATGGGTCGTTCTTGCATCCCCTAGGCTCGGGCCTCTTGCTCCATCAGGACCTGGTTGCAGATGAATGGCCCACAAGTCACCAGCCTTTGAGCAGGTTGTGTCCAGGTGGAGAGTGGGGTCGGGAGGGGGTTCCATAAAGACACAGCGTGTGGGGCAGTGGCAGCCGACATTCGCAAACATTCATGCATCTAATGGGGGCTTTGCCCTCCATCGGGTATTTCCCGTTAGCCTACAGCGACCACCTGTGGCCAGGCTAATTCATCACATTAACGGGGGTGGGAGCAGGGTTGGTCAGGGTAGGTGGGAAGAGATCCGTCTTATTGCTAAGTGGTCAGAAGGGTGCCTTTTTTTCTTCCTAGAATTCACATCTTATGGGTATCTGGGGTTTTATGACCAGGGTGGGAGGGGGTGTCTTTTTTTTTAAGTTTGGGGATAAGGAAGTCAGCTCTAGAAATATCTCCAGGGAAACTACTCTTCCTAAGTGGCTGTCGCATGGGTGGGGAGGGTGTGTGACGGCACAATGGGCCAGCCACAAGTGGGGATTTTTAAAAAGTGACCCTAGCCCTTACGCCCCCAACATCTGAATGACTCATCCTTAAGAAAGCCTTCCAGCAATGAAGGAAACGCCTTTGTCCCACATCAGGGCTCACAACAGCTGACATCCCCAAATCTGACAAGCAAAAACGGTGCTTTCTTGGTTCTCAAAGGGAGCCAAGAGTAGCTCATGCAGATGAATGGGGAGGGAGCCATGCCACTTCCCTCGGAGATGGTGATAAGTAGCTGGTATGGGTTTGCAAGGGCAGAGGAAGCCCTGGAGGAGCCCCTTCTCCCTACAGGGGGCGGGGACCGGCTGACACAGGTGACGGAGCAGGGCCGTGCTGGCGAGAACTCCGTTCCACTGAGAGGAAAGGGGTGGTTTGGGTGCAAGGAGGAAGCAACTGTCCTAAAGAGGCGCTGGCTGGGCCCTCGCACCTGCTGAGGGGAGCATGGCTAGAAGGGCTTGGCCCTGCAGCAATAACGGCTGAGAGGAATGGAGGGAGAAGCAGCTTGAAATGGCCTTCATTCAGCAGTGGGGCAGGGGGTGGCGGGCACAGGTGGAAGGACATTGCCGAGGAGGCCTTCTCCCTGCAGGGGGGTTGAGAATGGTTGAGGGTGTGGAGACCAGAAGCTGGCAGCAGACATATCAAAGCTTCTCCGGGGAGGCCGAGGTCATGGTTTAAAGGCACCAAGCACCATTCTCCTATTCAGCCCCTCCAATGCCCACCACCCTCTCCCTTCGATCGGCCCCTGCTAGTCCTAGTCTCCATACAGCACTGCTCTCTGTATAAGCCAACGACCCCTCCTCTGGGCTGTAACACTGCTGTTGTTCTAACCCAACAGCTGCCTATCTGGGAATAACTGGGGGCCAGGGAGGATGTGTGTTGGATCCTTAGGTAAGCCTCCAAGGATGGAGGCCATACATTTTGGGTCACTGGCAAGCAGATCACCCCACCTCTCTTCTCCTGGTCCATGGACCCTTGGGTCTAAGTCTAGGTGTTTTCCTAGCACCTGAGTGAGAGTGGAGAAGAAATGCCGGGGTCTGTAGAGGACGAGTGAACATGCCTAGGGCTGGACCAAGAGGTGGGACAGGAGGTTGGCTGAGGTCTTTGCAATAACGAGATCTTTTCCCTTTCCTAACCCTAAATAGTCTCAGATCTCAGCAACTTCACAGACCACAGGAAAAAAGAGTAGCTTATTTGTAAAAAACAAACAGGGGAGAAGATATATTAATAAATACAGGGGTGACGGGAAATGTGAGAAAAGGGTCAATGGATGAGTGGGTATTGTTAGGAATGTCTACGGGAGTCAGGAGGAGCGGGAATCGGAGTAAAGCAGAGACAGACAGACAGACATGGCTGCAACTAGCGTCAGCATGAAAGTGAGAGAGAAAAGAGTAAGAGACAGTAAGTTTATCTGAGAAGGAAGCCACAGAGAAGTCAGCTTGGAAGAGAAAGGACATTGATGGAGAAAAAGATGTCGTCCAAAAACTGTAGCTTAAGTCAAACTGCTAATAAATAAATAAATAAAATCGCACATTGCTTTTGACACTTCTTTAGAACTAGTGAGTTCTTCTAGGACTTAATGCCCGCAAAAGGTCATCTCACTTGACCAAGCCACGTGCTTCCAGGGACCAGGCACTGAGGACCACGTCACTTGCGTATTTCCCCTTTTTGCCTTGACTGCCAAGTTCAGGGCCAAGATTAGCACTCAACTGCAGACACTTTCGTCCCCCTTTTCTCTCTCTCTGATTTTTCTTGCCGTCGGTTGGTACTATCCCGTGCTTTCAGCTGTGATTTTATTTTAAGGTGGTCTAAAACATGTTTGGAAGTAGACTGGGCATACATTCTAAATACAGCAACGAAGCTACAATGGATTCATCTAAAAGGAAGTGAAAGATGTCAGAGAGAGGAAGGAAGAAAGGTGGGAGAGGCAAAAAGAAGAGTAGAAAGCAGAGGCAGGCAACTGGCTGTGGGGTGGGAAGTGGCAGCAACCAGGGACAGGGACAGTGGCAGCCTTGGGACAGTGACCACAACACAGACTGAGGGTGGAGCTCTCCACTTCTCGGCACTAAGTTTTCCTGCCCAGCATATTTCTTTTCTCTCCCTTGACCTTCTTATGAGTCCCAGGAAGTCCCACCTTACTCCAGACCACCCCTGGGAGTGATGGGGAGAGTTCAGTCTGGGACTCCCCACCCCCTGGGTCCAGGTCTAGCTCCACTGCCTGTCCTTGGAGAATCTCTGCAGCCCCAGTTTGTGGGCAGGTTCAGACACGAGAAAGAGCTGCCTAGGGCCCATCTGTTCCCATTGTTTTTGAATGGAACCTCCCCCCGACCTCCTGAATGGGGCGCACGGCTTTGTTCTGGGACACAAGGAAAGAAGACAGATAATGGACAGTCATGGAAGAACCAAACTTAGGAGAGCCTCTCCAGAGAGGACAGTAAAAATACCTCACCCTGTGCACACACACGCACACACACTCTCCCTCTCATACATGCATACATACACACACGCACACGCACACGCACAATATGTAGACAAGATGCTCTACAAATACCAGACAGGCCTGTGGGATAGAGTTGAAAGGGAGAAGGTGGGTGGTGGTGGTGTCTGGGATGTGCGTGTGTGGAAAGTGGCTATGTGTGATGATACGAGAGGGGTCTGTCATGGGTTACTGTGGTGGCTTTCCTCTGTGTCCACGCTCACCGGAGGGAGGCCTCCATTGTCATTGAGCCGCTTGGCCCTGTAGGTCTCATAATGGATGTTGTGTGTCACTTCCTTGAGGTCCTGGAGATGGGTCCTGAAGGATACAGGATTAGAAGAGAGAAGGCTGAGATTAGGGCTGGGGAGAGGATGTGACCCACGTCTGAGGTTAACCCATCACTGCAATGGGACTGGACCCAACAGACGAGACCCTCTCCTGAGAGCCAGAGGTGCTTCTACGGTTCTTTCTGCCTCATCTAGGAGTTGGACGTGGGGTGGAAGCTCTGTCGGAAACCCCCGGAGCCTGAGGAAGTGTGTCTGGACAGTCACACTTACATGCCCCTCTGACCCCAAATACATGAAACCAGCCATCTGGGAAGGGGGTGGGCATCTTACCTGATGACAAAGTCTCGAAGCAGGGCAAACTCACAGTGGTTGAGGTTTTCCACTGTGGACAAAGCAAAGCAGGCGTTCATTAATGCAGCTACCCCCGCAAGTGAACTTCTGTTAGGGACATGGGGATGTTTAGGAGAGAGCCACAGGACAGGTTATTGAACAACCCTTGTGGGCGCTTCCTCATAGCGACACTTCAGGGGACTTGATTTTGCTCACTGAACAAATATTTATTAAGCAGCTACAATGGCCACAATACTGTCCTAGCCTCTGTGAAATAATACATAATGGGGATTATTATTTTTTTCTCATTTTACAGATGAGGAAATTAAGATACATGAATGCCCAAGGCCTCAGATGCGGTTCCTAACCTTAAAGAGCTTATAATCTGATTGGAAGACAGCAACACATGTAGAAAAATAACAATCAAACCATTTTAGGAGGGTCACGTGCTACATGATAAATTCAATCCAACACAAGTAAATTGAGCACCTACTATCAGCTAAGCACTTGTCAAGGATCGTGGGTGCCAGACAATGATTTCCACACGGGCCCTCTGCCCTCAGAATCTAATGGGTGAGATGGATATTCTCATCAATGACTCCAATTCAAGGAAGACCGTGAGAAATGCTAGACAAACGAACCGAACAAAGGATTGCCCACAGGAAAATGAGGGACAACACAATACAATGGAATGAGCCTGAGTTTTGGAATCAAAATATCCGAGTCAGAAGTGTAAGCTTCATCCCTGACAAGTCATGTGACCTTGGGCAAGCCATGTTACCTGCCTGAGACTCAAGTGTTTGGTGGCTCCTATTCTGCAAACAAGCACACCTACCCTGCACCCTCCCAGATTATCATATTGAACGAGATAAATGAAGTGATCCTATGAAAACTTTCAGAGCCATCACCACCTGCCCAAAGTCATAGCCATTCATAATAAAACCAAAGCGGCCACATCTGAACAACCTTCAGCAGTTGGTCCCATTGCATCTCACTTCAGCTGAAAACTTCTCTTTGGATTTTCCAGACCTGACTCATCTCTCCATGATCTAAACTTCTTTGACACACTGAGTCCGTGTCTCATGGTCAGGGGCTTAACTGGTCTCTCACTGCTTCTTGCCTGTAAGATTTGTCTTCCCCATTAGACTGTAAGCTCCTTAAGGGTAAGGCCTGGCTGACATTCATTTTATATCATCTATCCCAGGCCAAAGGAGCTGCAGTGGTACAGCGCCTAAGGCATTTGACTGCTAACCAGAAGGTTGGCAGTTCAAACCCACCTGCTGCTCTGTGGAAGGAAGATGGGGCAATCTACTTCCATATGAGCTGAACATTTACATTAGGTAGATACACTCCTTGGAGAGAACAATCATGGGAGAACAAAAGGGCTATGTGTGCACAGGGAGACAGCTCAGGGGGCAGGAGTGCATGGAGGGAAGGACACAGGGAAGAGGTAACTATCAGGAAGAAGTGGGAGGGGAGCTGTTGCATTGTGGGAGATTGCAGTCAATGTCATGAGGCAAAGTGTATGTGAGCTGCTGTATGGAAAGTGAATTTGCTCTGTAAGCTTTCACCCAAATCACAATAAAAATTTTTAAAGAATAAAAATAAAAAGATTCACTGTCTCAGAAACCCAAAGGGGGTCACTGTGAGTTGGACTCAACTCGATGGCAGTGAGTTTGGTTTTTTTTCTTTCTTTCTTTCTTTTTTTGAGAATCCTAGGCCAACGTTCCAAGGAGCTCTGGTAGCATAGTGCCTAAGGCACTTGACTGCTAACCAGAAGACTGGCGGTTCAAACCCACCAGCCACTCCTCAGAAGGAAGATGGGGC